AGCACAGTGTGTGAGGACGCAGGCAGTGCTGGGCCGTCCAGCGGGCCGGTGCTGGCAGCACACGCCAGCCAGAGTCACGATTTTCTTGATTCTTCTCCTCCTGGCTGCAGTGGTTCTCAGGCTTCAAGCGCCATGTCCTTACGCAGCAGCCCGGTGGCTACAGGAAAGGCAGGAAAGGAACCTTGGTCCACAGGGTGCTCTCTCTTTTCTTGGGGAACAGCACTTTCCTGAAACTCCCCCAATCCTTGGACGTGTATCACTGCCCGGCATCAAGTCCCTGGGCTCACAACCTCAGCACCTGCCAGGTGCTGATCCTCCTCTGCCCCTTCCCTACCTCGGCTGAGTCTCCTAGGTCTTCAGTGGTGGCCTGGAGATCCCTGCGTCGGCGAGTCCTGGTCCCTCCTGTCGCGCTGTGATCTCCTGCCCAGTGTGACCTGAGGCTTTCCGAGAGTTCCTTTTCCAGAGCCCCTCATACCACATCACGCTGCCTAATCTGAAAATTCAGTTATTTCTGTGGCTCCTGTTAAAGTGAAGACTGACTGGGTCCTGGCTTGTTCCACAACCAGGAATTCAACCAACCATGGATTGAAAACTGTTTGGGGTAAAATATGTCTGTACTAAATATATATGAGACTGTACTTTACGCTGTGTGCACTCCCTAACAATAAGTGTAACAAAGTATAACAATAAAGTAACAATAAAATAAAGTGTAACAAATACTGCCAGGGCATTGACCTTGAATTAAGTATCACGTTCACATGGAGGTTACCGGAAGCGTGCAGAGGTTGTGGGCAGTCACAGGCGGATGCCACCCTTCCTTTATGAGGGACTTGGGCATCTTCAGATGTCAGAGTCATCTGGGCCACTTGGGAATTTCCTGCCTAGGGTAACGGACAAGTGTGTATTACAGCATCTGAAGGTCCATCATGGAGACCTTCTCTCAATGAGATTTCCTGAAGAATATGTGTTAAAGAAAGGAGCCAGTGAATTCATTGACACTGAGGTATAATGACTCGCTGACTTAAACATCTTTTTAAACCTTCGGATTCACTTAAGATGTCAAGCGTTTACTTCAAATTCACTTGAAGCTTGCCCTAAATGGGATAAAGATAGGTTCTATGCCCACTCAGTTATGCATTAAGGGAACGGTTTTTACTTTCTTTGAAATTTGAAAATGAAAGCTTTCTCACCTCTCACCGGTTTCAGAAAAATTTTATTTGTTCTATTCATTGTTATAGTGTTAATACTTCCTCATACAGAAAATAGTCCTAGGCCACATGTAGCTAAGTTTAAATTAATTGAAATTAAATACAGTTTGCGTTTTAAATTGTCCTGTCAAGTGTGGGTCATTTTAACCCCTTTACAGCTGGGTGAGGCTGTGGTAACTGGGCTAGAGAGTGCAGATAATAGATTATTTCCTTCAGCACGGAAAGGTACCTCCGACAGCTGTGAGCCAAAGCCAGAAGCAGAAGCCTCTGTCTTCTTTATGGCCGTGCACACTGGAACAAGGAGCCTGCTCGATTCTCTGTGAAACCTGCTAAGACAACAGCGCTCTGCCCAGCAGGCCACAAAGCTACAGACACAAGATGCTCCCTGGGGCCCTGTGCGTCAGAAAGCAAAGGCCAGCAAGGAAGCATCCGTCAACAGGGAACTGAGCCATAAACTGTGGGCTAAGCACAAAAATACAACCCCTCCTCCTCCTGAAACTCAAACATTTATGAAGACCCAAAGGGCTTTTTATTAAATACTAAAACTCCTTTGGGAGCAAAACTTGACCTGAATGGGCATGAAGTTATTTATGGTGTTTATTTATGCCACTGGCTATAAACCCCACACGTCTTGCTGCCCCCAAAATTAATGTGTTTGATTGTAACGTACTGCTCCAGACCTCAGCGGGATCCATTCAGTAAGACACGGTAGATAAATGTATTACTTGTGTAAACTCCAAACAATTTTTAAATTCTGAAACACATCTGGACCCACAGGGTTTGGCAAATGGATTGTGGATCTGTATTAATGAGCAGCCAGAAAGGAATAAATCAGATCTACCTGCACAAATGGGTAAATAAAATGGTTGGGAAAAGAAGGCAGAAAAAAATGGTACAATGTGACTGCTATAAATTAGATCACGGGTCCCCACAGCACCAATGCCATCTGAGGACATGCCAGTGACAGGTGCAGTGCACCTTGAGGAGGGAGGGCACTAGGGTGGTCCCACGTGGATGCCCACAGAGGGGAAGGAAAGCCCACATGGAGGACGGAGGGACAGGAGAACCCCCAGCACACAGAGCCATGGGGACTAGAGCCAGTCATGCCTGGAGGAGGTGCTGGGGACATCAGCCGATTCAGTACAATTATGGTGTGAAAATCAGCACACCAATGACTTTTAAATGGATTTTTAAAAAATAACCACTTCCTATCGACCCAGAAAACTTCCATCTATCCATCTTCTTCTGGGCAGCATAAGAGTTTCCCCACACGTGATGGATCCTGACGCTCAGCACTAGGGCAGTGGGCACCTCTGGGAGGCCTGACCCATACCTTCTGGCCAGGTCAGCAACCCACACCCCAGACGGAAGATACATTGGAAGGAATCGCACCCCGCTCATCTTTCTCTCTGTAGGAAAGACGTTTCCAGGATTTTCACTGTCTTTTCTTAATCTGAGGGTGTATGAGCAATGCAGCTTGGCCGCTTGCATCCTCTCTCCCCTTGTTTATGGCCCAGGCAAACAGACTGTGTTCATCAGGGCTACTGAGGACCGTTGTAGCCCACCACCCAGCAGTAGAGATAGAGCCCGGTGGGGGAGGCTGAGCTCCCCTTATCTGCCTGAGGAAGTACTCACAATCTCCAGAAGCACCCTTCACTTCCTGTAGCAGGGTAGTCCCTGGACTTGCTGCACCCATAGGAACTTGTGAGGATAGATCCTCAGGTCCCTACTCACTAATCCAAAAACTGGGGTGCAGCCCAGCAATTCTTGTTTGTCCAAGGGATCCAGTTAAGACTGATGTTGAGAACCGCTAATTGTAGGATCCTAACCAGCAAACCACTAAAGCAGCAGCCCAGGGCCGGGGGTATAGCTCAGCTGCACAAGCGCCTGCCTGACAGGTGCAAGTTCATGAATTCAATTCCCGGTCCAAAAAAATAAAATACAATACAAAAAAAATAATAAATCAGCAGCCCAGAGCACAGCCGTGTTTGCTCCTAACGAAAGCAGTGGTCGCCAGGCCCCAGGAAGACAGCAACAGCTGGGGAGGCAGCCTCTGCACTGACCTTGGGTGCTCAGTAAACCCTAACAAGGACCTGTTCCTGGCTTTGCGCATGACCTGAACTCGTGCGCTGATTAGAGTCCAATAAAATGCCTGCCGTGATGAACGCCTGGCACACAGACCACAGCATGCACGGCCAGTCACCAATCAAGGCGTCTTCTAACATTCCTTCACTGCACATGGAGTCTCACTTGTCATCCTGCAGGAAGGGCCCCAACTAATCAGGAGTGGGACTGGCCGAGTAGGAGAAAACAGAGAACAAAGTGATTTTGTGCCACGTTAACAACAGTCCTGAAAACCAACAGGGGCAAGCAGCTGCTTTCCAAGCCCATCTCTCCTCCCAGGCTTGCTGTGCTGATGCTGTCCCCACCATGTTAGAGACGTCCAGATGCAGTGAACTGGCCAGGTTGAATCTGCGTCCAAAAGAGAAGTCCCAGACCCTTGTATGACTGTGTTAGCATTTTCCAAGTCTGAAAGCAGACGACACGAGCAGTCAGCAGCTCACTGCATTCTAAAGAGGATGTAGTCACCGAAGCTCTTATCTTCAGAAGAGAGTTCAACATGAACAGCACTACCCCCAAGTAGCAATTGGTGCCTGGTCACTCTTTTCCCTGCAGCACCACGCTGCTTTGTAACTTCTCATCAAGCAACAGCTAATTAAAAATACAGTTAACAATCATTTTAATTAGAAGTTACTCTCCCTGAAAGGACTTACAACACAGTTAAAATGGAGGCAATCAGATAAAGGGATCAACAGAAAAATAGAGCGTGGAAAGCAAGACTCTCACTGGAAAATGATGATACAGATAGAAAGAAGGTGGCAGATAAAGACAGCGAGCATTTATGCACCCCTACCAGGCTGGTGCTTCTTTTAAATTGAAGGCAGACCTTACTGTTCCATAAATCACTATATTTTGTGCAAAAATTGAATAATTATATATGTGTGTGTGTGTGTGTGTGTGTGTAAATTAAGACGAGTAATGCTGACTATACTGTGTAGAAATGCAGAAATAGATCTTCTAAACCAGTAATCAGAATGGCCTGAAACTAGGATTCTACTCATTTGAACTTCATGAAATAAATATGATTTTAGTATTGTAAAGAAAGAAAAGCTCAGGAATCTGCCATTTGCATATAAATAGAGAAGTCAGAGCCTATCTACACAGAGAAACATGATTTCAACATTCTTATTCAATTCCTAGAAAATTCATCTCTGTACGTACTGTCATGTTATTCTAATAGCAGAGGTTAACTTCTGTAGCTTCTTTTAAAATAGAGATAATGCAAGCTATTGCCAAGGAATGGCTGCATGAGGCAGCAGAACACAGTGAGATCACTTTTGGCCCCAGGCTCCTGCCAAATGAAGACAAGCTACGATAATTCTTTCCCATCGCTTGACTTTGCTGGCTTCACCTGTGTTATAGATTTCCACATTCATCACTCTCCAAATCTAGGTACCAATGAGTGGAGGAGCCCACCCGGCCCTCCCCTTTCTTTTAGGGTAACTTTAAAACCTTTCTCTGGGCCCAGCATCCAGGCTCTCTGTACCACACGAACAGCTCCGAATCCAGCACGAATCTCCTTCCCTGCTGCCCTTTCATCTGAAGGACTGGCAGGAGAATGTATCCACCAAGCACAGCTGAGCACTTGAGACTGCAGGGAGGAGGACATCCTGCAGAAGGCCCTAGGGAGTTTGAAAAAGGGAAGTCAGGGTGAGGTGGTCTCAGGTCTGCAGCAGCTGAAGAGAGCTGGACAGGGCTGAAGGCAGGGAGCTCCTTGGGATGGGACCGCAGGCGGGCACCCAGCCCTGAACTGCTGTGGGAAACACAGCTCATGAAGGAATTCACCCACTGTAAAGGACTCCGGAACGGTTAGCAGTTTACGGATTCACTGCCTGAGAGCAACAGGTAAGTTCCAAGAGACGACCACAGCATCAGGGTGAAAGGCTGGGGCTTTGTGGGATTTGAGGATGTGAGTCAGGTACGTGAGGCTCAAAACAAGCCTTGCCGGCAGGCTTTCTTCAAGTCAGCCTGCACTCTGTTTATCTCTCAGAGTAGCTGTATTATGTCAAGAATTATAAAGCAAAGGAGCCAGCTTGACGTGGCCTGCTCTTCTGGAGAGCCCTCCAGGGTCCAGGTAAAGATACCTGTATTCGTCAACCCTGAGCAAAGCGTCACAGCTCACCGGGAAGAAATAAGTGTGCTCCACATCTAAGGCAGGTGTCTAAAGATTACCTCGCTCTTTGCCTGCTTGGGCTCCACATGAGCCCCCAGCTGCACAGCGCAGGCAAAGCCAGCCTGACCTGATGCTGTGCACGGAAGCAAGGGCCCAACCGCCGCACAGTCTTGCCGGCCAGCTTTCCCCCAAATCTTTCGAGGAAAATGGGCCTCACTTTACAACCCTGTGGAGCAGTCTTGGACACCGCTGCAGTGGTGCTGCTACAGGAGATTTTAGAATAAATATGTCCACACCACAGCACAGCCACTGTTCATGATTCCAAAGGTGTCATTTTCCACTCTTTGCGTGGGCCTCTAGTCTCTGTCATGGGTCCTCTTGGTAACACTGGGGAAGGAGCCACCCAGTGAGGGCACGGGCACTTGTCCTGGGGAGTGCAGGTCTCCCTGTCTCAGAGGACACAGTTCAGATATTCAGAGTTCACCCTGCAGCTAAGCAGATCTGTGTCTTACAGCTCCTTGGTCATTTCCAACCCAGAAGCCACAGCCCTCCTCCGGCTCCCAGCTGCGGCTCCTGCCCAGCCTGACCTGGGTCTCTCCCTCCTGCTTCCCAGCACTCTGGCCCCGGTGCAGAAGCCCTTCTGCTCTCAGCTTAGCTGGTGAGGAAAAGTAGAACCCAGAGCAACAGGCCACTGGGGTAAATTCCTCAGTATCCCAACAGAAAGCTGCTCTTATAGTCAAACATACTACCTTCTGAGCCCAACCTGCTGGCCTCGTGTATTGGTACTCTAGCTAGGGGTGTCTCACCCAGCAGATGTGGAGACTGGGACCTGTCTTTAACCCCTGTGGTCGTAGAGCTCTGAGGACCTCTGTGGCCATAGAAGAGCACGCCTGTGTTGAGGCCCTGCCTGGTGATGCTGGTTCCTAGGCAGGTGTCTGATGTGCACTTATAACAGCACCAGACATCAAGGAGTTAAAAGCAGGGTGCAGGTTAGTGGACTTCATTTGGTCCTACATTGTCTGGGCATAATAGTATTCCTTCCTCAGTCAGGAGCGTGAGTGCAGGAGCTCATCATGGGGCTGTCATGGAACTCCTCGAGCCCCAACTCGTGCTCAATCCAGAACCGAGGAAAACCTTTGTTCTGGGCCTTGTTCTGCCGAATAATTTGAGAGTGCTTTAGAGGGAAGCAGAGTCCTTGCTAATTCCAGCTGGAGCCTCACTAACAATCAAGCAGGAGCAGACCCTGTTCCCCGGCATCCTGGGAGAAGCCTGTTACTTGGCTCCCAACTGTACACTGGTGGAGTCAGCAGTGGGAAGTCCTGCTGGGAGTCTAGCCAAGCTGTGGTCTTGATAAGTAAGCCGTGCAGGTGGTCACTGTCTAAGCTTCCAGGAGCAAGCAATTTCTTGAATAAGCACCTAAATCACTCATGTTTGGTCCCAGGGCCACTCAACACAAGGATCAGGACCTAGGATGGTTTAGATATACTCCTTGCCATTTCGTTTTCTAAGTTCTTTGTAAATCTCCATATTTCTCCCTCCCCCACTTAACTAATGTAGGACTTTATTGTTTTTTAAAGAGTGTATCCAGCACTGAAGTGTGACACACATCGCATGTCATTATTTATCTTAATGTCATCCAGCCTGGCTTTGCTCCATCCTTCTGGATTGGCAGGAAATCCAATCTGGTCGTTCTAAGAAGACTTCTTGACTGTTGTGGGACTCTCCAGATCCACAGTGCTTGCTTCATGCAGAAGTAAGGAAACTCTCTGGCCCTCACTCCATCTTGGTTGCTGCACCTACTTATGCCCAACCTGTGGCTATAGGATTCCCCCAGAGATGCCTGCTCCACTGCTAGAGGAAACTGGAGCCGAGAACAGAGGCCCCCCTACCTGGGCAGGCTCCCCTGGTCTGTATTTGAGGCTTCAGTCCCTAGGATGCTGATTCAGTCAGAAGACAATCCGTCATCATGCCACTCTGCCTGGGACACTCTTGATTTTGATACAGAAGATTTTCAGTAGTGGGCAATCTCTAGCAGTTACCTTAACTACAACTCGCCCGTATTCCTCCAAGCTAGGTCACTTCTCTAGAAATTGTAGGAGAGAAAGCAACCACACAGGCTTGTTGTTTTCGTTACTTTTTTCTCATTGCTGGGACAAAATACCTGAGGGCCAAAATGAAGGAAGGAAAGGTTTATTTCACTTACAGTTTGTGGAGGTTTCAGTCCGTACTTGGCAGATTATAAGGCAGAGTGGCACATGGCAGAGAGCTACAGCTCCTAGCACAGAACACAGCAAAAGCAACAAACACACACCAAGGCAGCATGGGGCAAGAATGGCCTCAAGCACTCTCTTCCTCTCCCTTACATATGCAAACTATCCACCCCAGGGCAGGTGCAGCTCTCACACCCTTCAAACTCTAAAAGCCTGCCCTATGGCCGCATGAGGCTTTGGGGGGACACACAGACATAAACCATAACACTTGTTCCTTCAGAGTAGATCACAAACAGATGTTCTGCCTCTCAGGATCAACCTACTACCAAGAAAACAATGCACTTAGTTATTTTCTCCTTCAGGTTTCCCCAGATGGTGGGGATTTCTCTTTGGGAGGGGTTCTCAGTCCTGGATATGCATGAGAATTGTCTGAGGATACTGGGACCTGCACACATAAACTCTTTCTTCTCCCTATGTGGTGACAGAAAAACTTGGTTTTATTTTGGTTATGTGTATAAGAAATTCAATGAATATATTAGTATATGGCTATTTCTCAAATTAGGACCCTTAAAATCCTACCTACAGGTCCTTGGAGGTCATGTAAGATAAAGGACTATCCTGCATGCAAAATTCACTGACACTGAAGACTCCTTCATTAATCCGAGTTTAAATCCTACAGTTCTTCTGACCTCCGTAAATACTAAGTATGTTTCACATCCAAGTGGCTGGTCTGACAAATTCTACGGTCTCGAGATCAGAGAAGTAGAAGGGTTTCCCCTCTCACACCTTGCCCCATAACTCTATTTAACTCATAAAATTATTTTCAGTGTCTTAAGTTCCCATCTTAAAAATTTTGCTTGGCAAACAATGACACTTTTCCACCAGTTTCTTGAAATTAGACTGGCTCTGTCAGCTCTAGATTGTGCATAAAAGTCTACATATTGAAACATCTATTCAATTTCAAATATAATACATTTACAACTGCTGTCAAATGATTACCATGTACTCAATCTCAAATACCACACTTTTATATTATTTTGACATATTTATAATTGCCTGGAAGGATTTCTGATACAGCTAGTGCTTTTATTGGGCCAGAAAATCTTGATCTGACCTAAATTTTACATGCAACCTTTTATTTATGTCTCTTTTGGGTTAAAAATATAGGAGTAATTTGAGATACTGCTGAGTAGGAAAATCAGGAGTAAATGGCATGCTTGCTGCCTTTTTCATTCTAACTGAATGATATAAAGAAGTTTGGTTAAATATAGATACAACATAAAATTACCTGGGTAATGTGAACACCATATAGTATTTAAAACCAGGGTGTGAGTAAGGCGGTGCCCACCTAGATCTATTCAGATGAGACTGTGCACATTCAGGCTGGTATGGCAGTAGACCATCTAGATCTATTTAAATGCAGGAACTCATAAAACAGCAAGCCCTGAATTAGTAACTTCAGCCAGAGACTCTCAAAGATGAAGAAACCAGGCCTCCAAGAGCTACGTAGCTTTAGGTTAAGTGCAGAGACTTCCTACTAGAAAATGGTCAGTCAGCCCAGGTCTCATCTGATTTCAGATCCCAGTTCTTAACTCCTTTCACCGAGGGAAATGTTAAAACATATTTTTACAACAGAAGCAACTTCCTTCGAGCCACATACCAAACTACCCATGTTTGCAGCCAGTTCCTCAGGGTTATCCTGCTTAAGTAACCATCTTCCTGGGTTGGTTTGAGTATCACATCACAGGGCTGTTATTTCCCCTTGAGAACGGAGAGAACTTGCTTTCTCACTGGGGACTCTCAAGAAGGAGGCCACGCCTTCTGCAGAACAGAGGGAAGCACTGCTACCAGCAATCTAGCGCTTGGCGGGCCGGTGTGGCCCATGGTGTGTATAAGCAGTGTGATGAAATCACATGCTGAACGGTTAAATTACACACGGAGACACCACTAGAGCACAAGATGCACTGCCATTAGTTACCTTCAGAATATCCTCCCCTACTTCAGGCGTGCTTATTCCACCATGCTTTCCACTTTCTGAAGTGGTTCTGCAAGTCCTCTTTGGAGAGCGCCTTTTTGTGGCTGACTCAGTGTCCCGAATCCATTCAAAATATTCACACTGTGGCTCTGGCTTTTCCCTAGAGTCAACATGACCATGAAAATTAAACATTTTGAATTAGTTCAGGACATCAAAGCAACTATAGTAGAACTAAAGGCATGAAGGAAGACTTCCAGAATTGCATAAGAAGGTGGCAGGAATGACGAGGTGAGTGTGTTCCAAGAGAGGAGGGCATCTCAAAGGGGATTCGTGGCAATGTGTCTTTTACTGTAATGATTTTTTAAAAAAATTTAAACATCCACTGTATGATTTGATCATGCCTCATAATGGGTACATCAGACTTTTGATTTCTGTCAGAACAACTGAGGACCTTCAGTTACCTACCTGTTGACATTGGCTGACTCAAGAAAGGATCTGGGCCAGAGTGTAGTAAAAGCTGATGCTCCAGGAGCTATTGACTGTGCTTCATCCTTGTTTTGGCTGTTTGTTACAGAACACAAAGCCACAACATAAATGTTGGGTGGAAGAGTTAGACAAAAATCTTGGTTTTTCCTAGCTTCCTTTGTTTATAAACAAAAGCAAGGCTCTGTGCAAGTGATACAGACCCAACTCCAGGAGGATGGTCACCGAGTGTCTGGTACAACAGAAATGTAAAGGTGTGAGGTTCCTTTCAAGGACGGCTGAAACCAGGGGCCGTGGGCTCTCTATTTCCATTGCTCAGTTCCTTTCCCTTTGTGTTGGTTTCGTGCTCAGGAAAGCCCTTGTGGCCGTGATAGTTCCAACTTTACACTTCTGTGATCTCCCTCAACATTTCCACAGGAAACCTTCCTTGCTCTTGATCCCAGGTGAGTCATACTCCAGTTCATAAACCAACCACGGAGTTGAAGGAGCCGGGGTTTCTAACTGAGCAGGTCAAATCCTTACCACCCCTAAGAGTAACAGTGGGAGCCTCTTCCAGAACAGAACCCAAGGAGGAGACAAAGGTACACTCCCTGTCACACCAGATGTCCACTGAACTGGAGGTGGCCAGATGGCCAGGTGCCACCTGCAGCACGACACAAGAGTGCAGGTTTGCCCACCCTGGTGGTCTTCAGCCCAGACCCATGCTAGTCAGGGCGCATTAAGCCAATGCATGAGAGGAATGCACATGTGCCCTTTAGTTAAGGAAACAGAGCTTGGGAGGGGGCGTGGGGTGGCCACCTGGGTGGCTGAGTGCTTCGTGGTGCCCTGACTCCGGACAAGCAGCTGAGGCAAATGTTCAGATCCACGTTGGATCAGCGTTTGTCAGGCGAGATCAGTAAGGCTTTGGACCAGCGATTTCTACCCACAAAACTCAGAATTCAGACCTTTAGAGTCGTTTCCAGTGTGACACCGGATCCACAGAAGACCCTCTAATGGCTGAGAGCAAAACCTCATCAGAAACAGTCACACGCCTGCCCCTCTTGCTTGTCACCTGCACGACCCTGCCGTGATGTGTCCTTGTGCACACACACCGCACTTGTCTCAGGGCCGGCACAAAGACGTCACACTGCGCTTGTGTCCGCACACCCACTTGGCAAGCAGAGTCATTACGTGTGGATGAAAAGCTTGACCTCGGCTTGCTACTTATTTCTTCCAAGGCTACTTGCCTATTTCTAAAGTGGACGGACTTTAGCTCTGGAGGAGGCAGTGAGTCTGAGATCTCAGCCTCTGCTCCAGGGAAGCGGGCTCCTGTTGAGACTGAGAGACCCCTGGGTGCCTCCCCCGGGGCAAGTTCACAGCAAGTGGCCCCACCGCAGGGCCTTGCTGAGCCTGCTCTCCGGGGATTCCACGGTGGAGACCCCGAAGGGAAGCGAGGGGCAGCTGGTTCTCAGCCACACTGGTGCCCTTTTCAGTGTTAAGTCCCCAATTTACATATTCATGAACAAGAAAAACTAATCCGGGGAAAGGAAATAAAGCAGCCCCGCTGAGCTCCTCTGCTTTATTTCGGCACCCAGCGTCTACTGCTCCTTCTGGAAAAGGCAAGGGGCTGTGGGCAGGAGGAGAGGTCACTTTACCTTTTCCTTCTCAGGAACCTGTGGATTCAGAAACCACCTTGAGAGGGATGTAGACTCAGCTGGTAGCTGTAACGATTTTTCAATTTAAACAGTACAAAGAACTCCTTAAAGGCAAACAGATGCGGAGACACTTTTACAGCCTTAGTTCAAACTTGCTGTAGTTTGGAACTCAGTCTTGCGCATCACAGGAAATCCTCCCACAAGGTCAGCCAGGCGTGCTGCAACATGGCCTGAAGTTTGGGGCACGGAAGGGGGAGGGGAGAGAGAGAGAGAGGGAGGGAGAGATCGATTCTGGAATCTAGTCCATGGTGCGCACAAGGACTCAAGCGCAAGGGTGGAGCCCCAGTTCCTGCCAGTTCTTCCCTGGCAGCCTCTTTGTACAGACGAGCAGAAGGGCTGATTACCTAAAGAACTTTCTGGAAAGAGCACCTTTCTCCAGTGGCCTCCGGAGAACACTTAACTGTGAGAACACCTCCCACTCGCACTCCTCCTCCTCTTGCTCAGTGAATACAACAAGGAACTCTTTCACCTTTCCAGGACTTGCCTCTCTCCCCTGAAAAGTGGGAGCGATGATTCCTGCTCGCTCGTTTTAAGAGCTGTTGCTGGGATGAAGATGTAGATGTTGAAGCAAGTATCTTGTTCACTGAGTGTTGTCTATGCCGAGAGAAAGCACTGTGAAAGGTAAGATGATCAGTTTGCTTGAGAGAGGTGATCGCCTCCCCACCAGCCCCTGTTTACTACATCTCCTTCACAGCATAACAGACCCAGTGAACGGCTCCACACACTGTGATCACGACACGAGGTCCTGAGTCTCTGAGCCACAGGGCTGTAAACACCAGAGTCTGTCACAAGATAGATACACTAGGAGACAACCTCGGGGGGACCTGTTTATCTCCAAAGAAGGTAAGAGAGTTCTAACTCTCCTTCCACTGTGTAAATCCACGAGGAACTCTGTGCAGACTTTGTAGACGGCTCCATGCTGCTTCTACACCCATGAAAACGTGTTCACTAATGTGTCTCGTGTGTGTCTCGTGTGCTGTCTCTCCCGTTGGAGTGCTGGGGTCAGGGAGTCTCCTGGGGCAGAATGGTTTGATTCCCCAACACCAGTCAGTCACACTGGGGCTGACTGAGCTGCAGGAGGTGCACATTTTACACCTCTAGTTTCTTAAGTAAGTATTAATGAATTAACTTAACTTTAGCAGAAAATTTATTTAAATGTGTTTGCTTGAAGTAAATATTTAAAACCTTCGCTAGGAAAGGAAGAAGCATGTTCAATCATGTCTGGTTGGTTTCCGGGGAGCAGCTTTGGTTTGCTCTCTCTAAGTTGATTAATCCTCTTGTACTGCACTGTCTGCGGTCCCCGTGGCCATGAGAGTGTCAACGGAGCCAAAACAGCTCTGGGCTTGGACTTAGGAGGAGGACCTCGAAGCTTAGCAAACTCAACTTCTTGCCATCAAAAGGCCTGAGGACTCTACACAGGCACAACTGCTGTATCAGGGTAGCATTATAAATACCTGATATACGCACTTCCCCTATCCTTCCTTATGCCTATGTTCTCCTTCAACCAGGGAAGATAGAATATTTCACTCTTAATGCCCTGACATGAGACCAAAACACAATCCATCAATGCATGAGCCCATCCTCAGCTTTGGGGATTTCACACAGAAGGTTGAAACTTTAGAGTGGCTACTGCTCTGAAAAGAAAAAGATTTGTAATCACAAGAACCTGAGTGTTTTACACTTTAAGGTTGTAGTTTTGACCTAAACAATGGCCAGACCAAATATACATTCTACCAGAATGTGTTGTTCTAATTCCCCTACAATAATGACCCACACAATCCAGGGATGAGCACATCTTGGAGGAAACCAGTGGCAGGTCAGCACTTCCTATTTTTACATATTGAGCCTAAGTGGTAATAATTGGGTGATAGGCCCTCCAGATAGCTTGAGAGCTATAGAACAAAAGACACCTGGGTCCCTCTTCCTGTCTGGTTGCAGTAGAGTTCCTTCTGCCACCTTGGATCAAGACAATAGAACAAAGATGGTCCTAAGGGAATTTGAGGCAGAGTCCTCCTGTGTTTCCCAACAAGTAAAGAGAGAAGCCAAATCATTATCTGTGGGAGTCAGTGGGATAAGTGTGGAATGCTTCTCTAGAGGGGAAGGAGGGAAGATCAGACATAAAAGAATATTCCTGTGGACAGCAGCATGGAGCAGACAAGAGCTGAGAACTTGCTCAGTCCCTCCCACTACAGTCCTGGGTAAGCCTCAGTGTGTGGACTCAACCTCAAGAGAAAGAGCTGGACAGCATCCCAAACCGACTGAGTTTAATGTGTTTTTCTTGAGATTAGTTAGAGCCCATAAGGTTATTCTTTGCGCCATCAGACTGAACAGGGATAGAAATAAATACAGATCTTCAATCCCTGAATTAAGGTCAACACCCAGAAATCGATAGCATTCCTATACACAAACAACAAACAGACTGAGAGAGAAATTAAGGAAACCATTCCTTTCACAATAACATCCAAGAAATTGAAATACCTAGGAATCCATCTAACAAAGGAAGTCAAAGATCTCTTTAATGAAAACTACAGTACTCTGAAAAAAGAGATCGAAGAAGATTTC